TGCCCCACTAAGAGAAATGCCTATATTAGAAATGTAGTTGTTTATTTGGACTAAAATCTTTAAAAATAATAAAAACCTATTATTATCTTTATTTTACAATAAAATTTAGTAATAACTATATAATATTAAATAAATACATGCATATTGATTCATATTTTAGCCAGTTAAAAAGAAAAGAGTCAACCATATCAAAGTTGCTGCAGATCGTTGAGACCGTTGTGAATTATAAGGAAACTATTGTGAATAAATCATTTTGCTTCTGAAAACTTACCCATTATTTCTTTGCGTTTTGTGATGATTAAGAACCTTCTAATATGCAAACAATTTAATTAATTTAATAATAATAATTTTTATTAAAAATAAAATTTTATAAATTTAAATTAAATAATATATAAATAAAATAAATTAAGAGAGGATAGAATTTATCTTCCATTAAGTAAAAAAATAATAGTAATTTAATGTTTAGGAAAAAACAGTACTGGAGACTGTTCCGGTGGATTTATGAGGCAGAAAAATCCAACTTTTTAGACTGCAGAATGATGCGCTGTCACGTTTCCCTTTGACCGCGCTGGGTTGCCGTCGCCCGGCGTTCATCTCTGATGCAAGGCCATCATTATATACCGACGAAAAAACAACCTCCGAAAAGGAAAGCCAATGAAAAGTGAATTGAAACAGGGAAAACCAAAACCCAAAAGCACATACCCATTTCAGAGAACACACTGTAATTTAAACCCAACGTCTGTCCTTTGTCCCTTTCCCCCTTCCCTCTAGTAAAGAACCGTTTCATGAATTAACAAGGAACCAAAATTCATGGCTCCTTCCTTTTCCTCCTCTTCTTCATTCAAATCCCCTCCTCCTCCCCCTCATCACTTCCCCCGTTTCACCCCCGTAAGTTCCATTCTTCCTCTGGCTGCTTGTTTTCTTTTTTTGAAGAAAACTAAGCCAAAGGAAGGGTCTTTTTACTATTTTGGGTTTGGAGTGTTTCTGTTTTTCATGGGTTTTGGGTGTACTGATGAAAAGTTTGTTGCTTGCAGATTCAAGAATGCGAAAGGGAAGAACTTGAAGTTGAAACCCCAAGTGTTAAGAGAGTGACACCAAAGCATATCCCAACTCCTCTCCATGATAGAAGCAACATAGCTAGCGCTAGGAAATACCATGAATCGTGTGATGAAGGTTCTGTCTCGTGCTACCACTGCAGGCCACATGCTCGAGAAAAGATCTCTGTGGTACCTCTGGACAACAATGGTGTCAACAAGCATCACCCATCCTCCATGGCTAGCCCCAATATCATATTCAAGTCCTTTTTCCAATCTTTAATAAGGAGGAGTCCAAAATCAACGAACAAATCCTCAGGAACAGAAGAGCAATGGAAGATTGCTGTTTCAGAGCTCTCACATAAGCTCATTCAAGCAACAAGAAAGAGGGACGGGGCAGTGCTGGAGGCTTCAAGGTTAAAGTACTCCATGGCTGAGCTTGAGAAAAAGCTTAACAAGCTTGAAGTTTACTGTCACAATCTAAAGTCCGGACTGGATGAATGTAGTGGGAATTCTCCTTATAAAATCGGTAAAGGTCATAACTTCTATCAAGTGAATAATCGAGAAGGTGGTGTTTTCAACGAGAAAGTGATTGAGCAATTCTTGGCTTCTGTTTCTGAGGCAACATCTTCAGTTAGGGTATTGAGCAGATCACTTACAATTCAATTAAGGCACATGGGAGGCAAAGTTTATGAAAGGATATCTGTTCTTCTGCAGCCTTATGATATAACGGTTTCTCACTCCAAGAACCCAAAGACCCTTCTTTTTTACCTTGAAGCTTTGCTGAATAAGGCCTTCTTTGAAGATTTTGAGTCCAGTGGCTTTCAAAAGAACTCAGTGAACCAAATATTGAACCCAATAGATTGTTGTGAAGCTAATTATGGATCATTCAATGATTTGCAAGGCCTAACATGGGAGGAAGTCTTGAATAAAGGGACGAGGCATTTCAATGAGGAGTTCAGTAGGTTCTGTGATAGGAAGATGAGCGATATTGTGGCTATGTTGGGATGGACCAGAGCTTGGCCTGAACCGCTACTGCAGGCATTCTTTGGTGCGTCCAAGAGTGTGTGGTTGCTGCACCTCTTGGCCAACTCGGTGCATCCAGGCTTGCCAATCTTCAGGTTGGATAAGGGGGTGAAGTTCAATCCGGTGTATATGGAAGACATAGGTGGAGAAAGGGCTAAGAAGCTGAATCCAAGTACGGTTCGAATCATGGTTACACCTGGGTTCTATGTGTATAACAATGTGGTCAAGTGCAAGGTGCTTTGCAGGTACTACAGCAACAACAACAATATTGACTGTAGCAGAATCGATGACAGGGGTTTGACTCCATCATCTTGATTAGGGTAAGATTTGTTTGAGTTTGAATTATATATCTTGATGTATATTACTTTTCAATTTGCAATATTCTGTTTTGATTTCCAGTCTAGTTTATATGAAGAGATTGAGTACTAAAGAATGAAGACCAAGCTATGGGGCTTTCAGTTGGGGAATCTTTTGTGGATTTGACCTTTTCCTGTTCTCTTTGTTTTACTCTCTGTTTGGTCAATTTCATCTTCAATATCGGAGTTGGGATTGAAATCTATGTGGAAAGAATTATCAATTATCACAAGAAAACAAGGAAAGAAAGGATAAAAAAGAAAAACAACTTGTGATTGACTTTTGAATCTTTTGCCTTCTTTTCTTTTGTATTTGGGAAGCAACGAAGCATCTATGGAAACAGTTTATGAACTTACATCCTTGAATCATCTTCCATTTTTTCACAAGTCATCTTTATTGCATTTAGCTGCATCCATCTTGGATTCCTATGATTCAAAAAGGCTGATGTTCGGAAAGAGAGGAATTGTTACTCCGACTTGTCTTGACTCTTTGGATAGAATTAGAAGTTCTACCATTTCAATTTATATGTGTCATATGAGATTATGAGAAAGACAATACAGAATGCCTAGGAAGTGGGTTGAAGAACTGGAAGGCAAAAAGTATTAATAAGATGTGACCTACTAACTAACAGCTTTTTCAATGGCATTGCCTTTTTTTATGCGCAAAGGGTAGCAAAAGGGGGGGGAACTTTAGGTGGGGCGATAACTGGGAAAGCATCTCAATTCTGATACATGTTAGCTGAATCTTAGCTTTTTATCATGTGAAAAGAGAATGCAAGCACATGATAATGGAGTTATTACTTACCGAAAGGTATCTTGATTGAACTAAACAACTTTAATTATTAGACACGGT